AGGCGCGAGCGCCCGCGAGTTAAAACGAAGCCGAAAGTTGCTGGGAAGCTGCTCGGGTGCTGGGAGCAGGCTTTTAAAGTGCCACCCGAGCAAAGTTTAAGCAGCCCGCCCCGCCCACCGGGCGGAACCCTTCCCGCTCATCGGCGGGAAGACGCTCCAGCCTGCAAACTTTGCTTTTGCAAAGCCCTGGAAAACGGAGCAACTTCCCAGCAACTTTCGGCTTCGTTTTAACTCGCGGGCACTCGCGCCTGGCGGAGGGAAAGCCCGGAGCCTCCTCCAAGCAGCCTGCCCGCCCGCCCGCCGGGCTTCCCTTCCGCCGCACGGCTCGGGGCCAGGCGTGAGCGCCCGTGATTTAAAATGAAGCCGAAAGTTGCTGGGAAGTTGCTCGGGTGCTGGGAGCAGGCTTTTAAAGTGCCGCCCGAGCAGGACCGCCGAGCCGGGAAACGGGGCACCAAGGCAGGGCAAAGCTCCACCAGCAGCGGCCTAGCTTTAGGTGGCTCCAAGCAGCCCGCCCCGCCCACCGGGTGGAACCCTTCCCGCTCCTCGGCGGGAAGACGCTCCAGTCTGCAAGCTTTGCCTTTGCAAAGTTTAAGCCTGGAAGCCCCGGAAAAAAAAGGGGGATCAGCGGGGACTCACCTTCGGAGAGGTCGCACTCGAAGGTGATTTCGAACTCCCAGCCGAGGCCTTTGCAAATTTCTTTTCTTTCCTACCCCTAGATCGCTCCGCACTGTTTTGCAGCTTTGGGGGCCACACGGCACAGGGCAATTACGCCACGCCCAGCTATTTTTTTTCAGGGGCGGACCGGATTGGACAGACCAATGGCAGCGATTTATTTTCAGGGGCGGGCCGCATTGGACAGACCAACGGGCCGGATGTGGCCCGCGGGCCGTAGTTTGCCCACCCCTGCTCTACTGTCATTGGGCATGATATATCTCTTTCAGTTGTGTCTAGTATGCAATAGTTGTTGGGGGATTTTCTGTATTTTCATTTATAAATTTTCAATTCATATCAACAATTTTGTTGTGATTCTAGAAAAAGTTTAACAGAAAACTTTTTCTTGTTAAATGAAAGGAAAGAAAAAAAAAAGGGGGGGGGAATGAAAATTAGCTTCTAAATGTATTTGAAATTTTATACACCTATTTTTCCCTAAAGTCAACCCACATTCAAATTATGATCAGTTAAAGCAGATTTCAGGTTGTGATTATTTGTTGAAGCAAGATTTACCTAATTTACCTAAAATTTTGAATAAAAGGGCAGAACATACCTAATCTCTGTGAAGGTTATGGGATGTTTCTAAATTTGATAAATAAATACACTTATACAACAATTTATTAAAAATAATAATATCCTAAACAAACATTAGATTGGATTCCAAAAATATATAATTCCAGTAAATTTTACTGGAAGGCAATTCATTCCTAGAAATATACTCTTAGGAGATAGTGTGATAAAGCTAGATTGTTTCCCAGATTTTGAGTGCAGGGTCTTTGTTTTGTTTATTTATTTATTTTATTTATTTATTTATTTATTTATTTCAGTTAATGTTTATAAACTCATAATCAGGGAAAGAAAAATACTTAGTTTCAGGTTTCTAATGAGTTTTGAATTAGGTGCATTCTGCATGTCAGTTCAGTTATAACCACTATGCCAGTGAGAAAAACCTTCTGTAAAAGTAACTTCAACACACTTTCTTGAGAAGCAGCTGAGGAAATATAGGAAAAAGTTTTTGGTTTATTTATTTTATTCTAAAGTTAGTTTTTATTTGCATTTATTCAGTTTTATTGCTTTCTGATTTATAACAAAAAAGGAAAAAATAAAGCACAAAGATAATAATGGTGCAGATACAATGCAAATATTATTCAAGTAATGTTTTTCTAATACATTTATATGACTATCATTTTTAATTTCTGTTTGTTTTTAATATGTAGTGTATTGTATAAATAAGTTCCATATTTCATTAGATTTTCATACAGAGTTTACATCTATAGGTATTCCACTCATAAGCAGCAAGTGTAATCAGATCTTCAATCTATTGAATAAATGAAACCATATGTTCATCATTCCAATGATGGAACATCAGTCTTTTGACCATAGAAAGAATACATTTATATTACCTGGTTGTCATATTCCATGTATTGTATACTTCCAAATAATATTATCCTATGAAAACTTTAGCTTTTGTCTAAATTTTGAAGTTATAATTATATAAATCAGCACTTTCTCCAAAACATAAAGCTGCTGGTTTCTATATTTATATCATTAACTTTGTACATATGCATTCAATTTAACTTTGTATCATATAACATTGCAAATGTGTGCCTATATTAGTATATAAATGTACATAATATCCCTAACCCTAACTCTCTTTCCCCCCTGAAAAAGGAAAGCAACTGAAAAATATTGCTTTAATGTAGAAAGTTGGGAAGATATAGCAGTAGTGCATTTGTCAAATGAAAGGACATGGCAAACTGACATATGGATCAAATATCTGGCAAAATGTCTCACCCAATAAGCCCTAGTGCTTTGGAGGCAATTCAGCATAATCAATTGTCAGGATTACTTTAAGGATGCAATAATTCTTTTGTTAGTGGTGAGAAATCTTTCAAGTTCAGGGCAGACTATACAATTATTAAAAGAACTCTTAGAAGAAAGTGAGGAATTGTGTTAAATTATCTAAAAATGGGAACCTAGAATTAAATGAATTGTCTTTATCCATTTCCATTTCAATGTGTGTCCATTTATTTTAATCACTAGTATTATATTATGTTTTAGCTGGAAAAGAAATAATTAAAATGGATATACAATAATAAACTGAGCATGGCTTGGATAATATTCTTTAATTGGGGTTTCAAAAGAACTTGCTAAAGATTAGAATAATCTTGTGACAAGAGAAAAAGAAAAAATGAAAAGAAATAAAGTTCAACAAAATTATTTGAATGGACTAAATGTTAAGATTGTTACACATAAAAGGAATGAATAAAAAGTTGGTTTATTTGATCAAAGTTAAAATAGATATGCTCCATCCTTGGTAAGCTTTAATGGACTTTTACTGATAACAGGACCATAACACAAAGTTTAATTAACTTATTTCTACATAAGAAATAGGACATGGGAAGAAGAGGTCAATTGTTGTATTTTAAGAGGGGCCGATAAACTTCTAAAATTATATTTGCAATAAAAGTGGGAAGTAAATTGTTTACATATTTATTTTCATTTTTTTACTATATTATTACTTTTTTATCTCTCTCATTTTTTCCTTTTCTTAACTTCTGCTGTTTCTTTTCTTCTTTTTTTAGTTTGTATTAGTTTGTATTGGTTTGGGTATAATTTTTAATAAATACTACCAAACCAAAAGCAAACATACAAACCCCATTAGAATCAGCCAAGATAGTTTCAAAAAACTCATCAGTACACTCTTTATAAAAAAGTGTGCCTGATTATCTTCTACCTGTAATAGAGGTTGTAGATTCTTTTCTTCTTCAGTGCTTTCTCCATTTAAGCTGATCCCGGTTGTTCAGTTCAGGCCTCACAACAATGATGTACCATTTGGGAAAAAATATAAAACTCAGCAATCCAGCACTGGAAGCTAAAATAGAGAAAATCTCCACAGCAACCATGTATTTTCCTCTGGTGCTCAGGTAAGTTGGGACAAATGACAGCCATACAGTGCAGAACACTAACATGCTGAATGTAATAGATTTGGCTTCATTGAAACTGTCAGGTAAATTCCTGGCAAAGAAAGCAACTATAAAGCTGGCAATGGCTAAAAAGCTCATGTATCCAATCATACTGTAAAACATGACAGGGGATCCCTCATTACACTGCAGAGTAATTTCACCCATTCCTGAATGCATATCAGCATCCAGGAATGGGGGGCTGGTTGACAGCCACACAGTACAAATGCCAACTTGAATAAGAGAACAAGAAATGACAATGGAACTGGACAGTCCTTTCCCCATCCCCCTAGTTTTCTTTGTCCCTGGTTGGGTGGTCATAAATGCCAGAACCACAGTGATGGTTTTGGCCAATACTGAAGAAACAGCCACTGAGAAGACAATGCCAAAAACTGATTGTTGCAGGACACACATGATCTTCTGAGGCTGCCCAATAAAAAAAAAAGTACAGAGGAAGCAGAGAAGAAGGGAGGCAAGAAGAATATATGTGAGATCCCGGTTATTAGCTTTGACGATGGGAGTATTGTGATGAGTTCTAAACGTTTTTAAAATGGCAATAGTTATTAGTGAAAGGAAAAGAGCCCCAATGGTTAAACCCATTCCCATAGGTTCATTATAGGATAAAAAGATTACAATTTTAGGAATGCAGGCATTCTGATGATTGTTTGGGTAAAGATCTTGTTTGCACTCAACACAGTCAGGCATATCTGTAAAACAGAAGCTTAGTCTTAGATACACATCTGTATTATACTCTGATAGTTCATATACCATAAGTTAATGAGGAAGAACTGCATTTTTCTATAATAGACACTTTTCTCTTGTGAGATGGCCCATTGCTAATGGAACTTATTTTCATTATTTGTATCCCTGTAAAATACATTCAGTCCAATACTGTGTCTACTAACTTCTCTTGGTTTTTTTTATTTCCTCCCCACTTTGAAAGTGTTGTAGGAGCAAGTAACCTGCATGTTCATTAATAGAAAGCATTACTTTATGAAACCTCTTTTTCATAAAACAAATATTGGCAATATTCAGAACTAGATCCAACCAAAATCTAGATCCAATCTGTTCAAGTTGCAGCAACTTTATATAGTAGTTTTTTTCCACTTATATTTTTTTTTCAGTGAATACCCAGATTTCCAATTAGATAACACCAGGAATTCCCTTGTAGTATTATCTCCTTTTGCTCTCTTTTTATGTCATGTTCATGTTTATTACTGTTTCTTGGCCTTTCAACTAAAATAAACTGTAATTCAGAATTTCCATGATTCTGTACTTTATTCTTTGATAATAATATTAGTCCAATTGTAGTTATTCACTGTTTAGTACTGTTTAAATGAAGATAAAAGATAATTCAAGAATTCAAACAAGGCAATCTGCTTTTGTTGGGGTGATGGTGGTGTAAAAAACACAATTAAAACAGTAAATTAAATTTAGTGGAGCAAGTAGATGGGTTGAATTTTATTTAAGCCCATAAAAAAAAGGTCCAATATGTAAACAGTAGAATAAATAAGAGAAAAAAATAAGAAGAAATAAGAAGAAAATATAACCCTAGTGTGATCTTTGTGGTAGCTCATGTATTTTGAGAAAGCACAGTATCTCTTACCTTCCCACTCAGAAATCTTGTCTTTTGGACAGGGAATGCAATCATAGCAGCAGAATGACTCCCCTTCTTTCTTTTGTTTGCTGTAACCTGGTTGGCACTTGTTACTACAGATTGAGAGAGGTTGCACCTAGTTCACCAATGTGAGTAGAATTCAGAAATTAACATACATCTTCACAAGAATAATTATAGAATATTTGCAGCCAGAGAAGAACATGGCATACACTAATATTTTACAGGTTATTGTCTTCATAGTCATTCAGGCTAAAATGTTCTTATGCCAAATTATCCTGTTTGACTTTGGAACAGTTATTCCAAGCTCACTGGAAAAATCCTAAATTTGAAATAGGCTATTCCAATCTTTCCTATGAAGAAATTAACTCATTGCTAAAAGGCTTACTCTTTAACATTGTTCAAATTCATAGTGCCAATTATTCCATGAATTGCTTTTAAGAAAAGCTGCTTGCAGATGTAGATTAGGTATTATTAAAATTGAATGCAAGCTTCTTTAAAAAGCTAATACTATTAATAATCTGTTACAATGTTGTCAGATGGTAATATATAGTCTCCTTATCAGAATTAAGCATTTTTTTTTCTTATAGACTATTTTGAAAAGTATAGTATTTGCATATTCTTGATTTAATTTTAAGGTAATTGAGCATAGGGGAAGAAAAACAACCAAAAGAAATGTAGAGTATAGAAAGTCGAGAAAGAAAGATGATAATGTTTTAGTACTGAGTTATATATAAAAATGATTTCATCCTCCAATATTAGAATAAGAGCAGTAAAAAAGACTATTATGAGTAAGATAAAGTTATATTTAATATTCATATAAATGCATGTCCAGTTATAGAAATTGTATTGCCTAAATGTGCACAGAAATATAATGTTAGTATGTTTGGAGACATTCAGATGAAATTTATTTGTATATGTATATTAAAATCATTAGCTGAACTCAAAATGTTACTAAAGTTGAAGAAATAAGAAACAGAGTATAATAATAAAATATTTGACAAATCCATCATGAGCAAGAAATATATCCTGAGTCATATTTTAAGACAGTTATGTCCTACCTCATTAAACCAGCTATGCCAAACAATGGAATTTTTGTTCATCATCAATTTGTGGTCTCTTGTTACTTGTGAGTTGATCATTCCAACTTTTACTCCAATTAAAGACACATTTGGAAACAAAACCCAGTTTATAACATCAAATGTTGTTAGAAGTACACCATTCTGGTCAAAGGAAACCTTTTCCCCTATGTTATTATTGAAAGACACTTGCTTCAGAAAATAGAGCAGCTGAGGATAAAAGGAAAACAAAAAATGTTCCAGTGTATGGAACTGAAACAAAGATGTGAACAATTGTGTCAGGTCCCAAAACCAGGAAACATATCTGGTAATTTCTTTCAAGCACAGTTCTTTATTGTAGCACACTTATAGTCAAAATTTTGTCAAGTAAAGTACTTTACTATACTGTTGAGAACTATTAGGAAAGGGCTGTCTTAACCCTTTTTCCCCTCACACAAAAATATCTGGACTGACTGCTTCTTTTTCCTCTTGAATGCACTCGCCTGCACTGGAAATCCTGCCTACTACATTCCATCACAATTTAATTTAATACTAAACAATTTATTATACCTATGCACTCATTAACACAATTAACATATGTACTTAAGATTAATGAATGATAAGAGACAGCTTCAAATGCTTATCACAGTATTGAGTTCTGTAACTTCTAAAACAATCCAACTGCTTTTTAAAAATCAGGTTGTCTTCATGAGCAGTAATGAACATTTGTCCTGCCCAGCAAGGCAATGATAATTTAAATCCCAACAAAACATCTGGCAATAGATTACTCATAGTGTTGATAAATTCAGTGAATGGATATAAAAAATACTGTAAGTTAGGACTTCAGAGATAATGTGAACATTCTGGTGGAGAATTTCATGAACTTCATGAAGTTAGCCTTCATTCAAGAAGGTTTATTTCAACTGAAACCTAAATAGTTTGTATGAGAGCCAGTCTGGTGCAGTGGTTAAGATAACAGGCTACAAAACAGACCCTACAAACTGCTGTCGGGTTTGAAGTTTCTTCGGTGACAGACAGAAATCCATGATCATGCACAGTTTCGGTCTGGGCTCGCCACTGGAGGGCCCCAAGTTGGCTGGTTTCAGGGCTAAGCCACCCCATAGAGGTGGTGAAGAGGGGGGAGCCTGCCAGCAGGGTTGAGGAGAGCCGCATCTCTCCTCCTCAGCTGGCCATTACTCCCATTCCCGAAGGCGGTTGCAGTGGTGGTCAGAAATGGCCACAAAGAAGAACTCGACTCGAAAAAAATGTGCAGGAGGAAGATAAGAAGTGAAAGTTTTGGCTGACCGGGTTAAATTGTAAAAGCAACAACTAAGGTACCCTGGGATTTAAACTTACAAAAAAATAACATCGCTCCCAAAGAAGAGTCGGAAGCAGCGAAGGAAAGTGAAAAGGGAAAGGTTTGGTTTTTTTCTTCTTCTCTCCCTTTCCCTATACTGACAACTAAGAGATTTAAATAAGAAATTGGAAAAATCCGCTTTGACATTGACCGGCAATTTAGCTGAAAATAAAACAAAATGTCAAAGGGATAATAAAGATTTCTGGACACTAAAATTTTTTTTTCATAAGCAGGAAGGGAGAGAAAAAGAATAAAAGGGCAGGATCTGGAAGAGGGAGGAGACTGCCTGGAATTAAAAAGAATCTACAGTAAAATCTCAACAAGACTTCTAAAAGATACATTTTAACTGAAACTAAACAGTAACCCCAGGAAGAGAAAGTGAAAAAAAAGAGCAAAAAGAAACAGCTTGTGTGTACTTGAATTATTTGGTGATCTTTGGATTCTTGGTTATTACATTTGAATGACTAAAATTAATCGGGTGGTTGTTTAAAAATTTATACAATGGCACTACTTCTGGATGAATTGAAAATGGAACTTAAAAAGTACAAAGAAGATGCACAAGAAGGGAAGGGTTCTTTTGGCTTCGTTTTTCAATTCTTAGAAATGGAGATTTGGAACTATGAGAAACAACAAGAAATGTCTGCAAAACAAGAACACTGGGACAAAGAAGAAGCCATCTTTAATGAACAAGTAATTTTATGTGGGGAAGAAAAAGGAAAGGGGGGAAAAAGAATGGAGAATTTAAGACTTAAAAAAACAACCAAAGAAAAGAAAAATAATTCGAAAAATAAGTATAATACTGGAAAGCAAAAGAAAAGGGGAATACAGAAGAGAGAAATAGAGGTAGAGAGACAAGGGGGTAAAAAGGGGAGAGAGAAAAGGAGAGGGAAGAAGGAAAGGAAAAGAAGTTACAAAGGACCGGAACAAGATATGGAGAAACAGGACCTATTTAGAGATAATGGGTGAATATCTAACTGAAAAAGGGATTCTGTGAAGGTACATAAAATTGTATTGTTATATTAGTAATAGAAATAACTTTAGAAAATTGGAAACAATGTATGATTAAAATGAGGGATAGAATAGTTAGTGTAATTTAGTGAAATGTTTGTTAATAAAATAAGTGAAATAAAATAAATGAGAAAATTGAATTAAGAAGGAATGGGAAGATTTTAATTAGTTAATGTTTTAAAAATATAAGTGAAGGGGGGGAATTAATTATGGAAAGCTTATAATTGTTCCCATAGAAGTATGATATTTAATTGAAAAGTAATGTTAAAGAAGTTAAGATTTTAATGAATATTAATATTAATGATAGAATTGAATTGGAATGGAATGTGTTGTTTTAATTACATACATTTATAATTTTTTTCTTTTTTTAAGAATATAGCATGTATTTTAAGAATGTACCAAGCAGAATCCGAATGAAAGTTATGTATTATATTGAATGTTACAACTTTAGGGTATATATTGAAGCCTAAATAAGAGTTAAATGGATAAACTTAAAAGATATAAAGGTGTCATACTCCAATCAGTAACTACAGGATAAATTTTGTTTAATGAGAAAATATAATAGATAATTGAAACAGGACAGACAAAAAATATAAATATAATGAATTGAATTGAGATGAGATAATTAAAATAAAATTGAGAAAATTAAAAGAGGGAGAAGCTATGCAGAAAATGTAAAACAGTAATAAGATATGGAATAGAACATAAAAATGAGCATGAAGTTGAATTTGTGTCTGTATGAAGAAATGTAACCTGGGATTATGCTACTTTCAAAAAAGATGTTTTGTTTGGACTTCTGGTTTGCAAGGCTTCGGTGGTGGCAGGAATCCGCGGTTGTGCGCGGTTTCTGCTGGGCTCACCGCTGGAGTGCCCCCGATCCAGCCGGATTTGGGGGCTAATAGTTACCCCGTAGAGGTAACTAAAGACAGGAGAGATCCGGCAGGGGTCCGGGGGAATCTCAACCCCCTCCTCAGCTGGCTTAACTCCCTTTTCCGAAAGCGGTGGAGTGGCAGTCAGCAATGGCCGCCACAAAGAAGCTTTCATCCGGATAAGAATGTGCAGGAGGAAGCTTGAGAAGTGAAAGTTTTTGGCTGACTGGGATAATAAGTAACGTTTAAATACCCTGGAATTTAAACTTCATTAAAGATACATTGTTCCCAAAGAAGATTGGAAAAAGCGGCGGATGAAAGTTAAAAGGGAAAGTTTGTTTTTTCTCACTCTCCTTCCTAACGGTGATAGCAGATGGAAATCGGAAAAACCCGTTTTGGCATCAGCAGGTAATCAAATTTGAAAATTAAAGCCAAGGGGACATTACAGATTTCTGAACATTGGAAAAAAAAACTTTTTTTGCTATAAGTGGGAAGGGAGAGGAAAAGAATTAATATTAAGATTTTGCTGGAGGAGGCTGCTTGGAACTTATAAGACTAGAGTTAAATTGTAACAAGACTTCTAAAAGATATATTTTGGAACTTTGCAACTGAACTGTAACCCCAAGAAGAGAAAGTGTAAAAAGAAGAAAGTGCTAAATGAAACAGACTGTGTGTATTTGGATTGCTTGGTGACTTTGGGACCTTTGGAAATTATTATTTGAAAGACTAAAAACATTTGGGTTGTTTAAATTTTTTTTTCACAATGGCATCACTTATTGATGAACTGAAAATGGAATTTAAAAAGCTAAAAGAAGAGGAAAAAGAAGGGAAGGGCTCTTCTGGATCTGTTTTTCATTTCTTAGAAATGGCAATTTTTACCTATCAGAAACTACAAGAACAAAAAGAGCGGGATGAAGAAGAAGCCATCTTTAATGAACAAGCAACTCTAGCTAGGGAAGAAAAGGGAAAGAGAGGAAAGAGAATGGAGAATTTAAGACTTAAAAAAACAACCAAAAAGGGAAAAATAAGGTGAAAAATCGATACAATGTCAGAAAGCAACAGAAAAGAGGAATACAGAAGAGGGTGGAGATTAAGAGGGTGGAGATCAAGAGACAAGGGGGTAAAAAGGCTAGATTGGAGAAGAAAGGAAGGAAAAAAGGGAAGAGAAGTTACAAAGGTTTGAAAAAAGATGTAAAGAAACAGGATTTATTCAGAGATAATGGGTAAAAATATAATTAAAAAAGAGATTCTGCAAAAGTACATAAGACTGTATTCTTGTATTTGTATTTGAAATAATGTTAGAAAACTGGAACATTATATTATTATAAAATGGGATAAAATATTAAAAGGAATGTGTAAAATGTTTAAGATTTAATGATAGAGTTTAATTTGCTATGGATTATTGTTCTAATTATATTATAAACTTATTATCCCCCTATTTTAAAATATAGTACATAGCTTTAGAATGTAGTAAGCAGAATCAGAATGAAAATTATATATTATTTTAAGTGTTAAATTTAGGGGAAAGATATAAAGGCGTCATACTTCAATCAGTGATTACAGGATTTTGTGTTAATGAGAAAAGATAATAGATAATTGAAATAGAACAGACAAAAGATACAAGCATAATGATTTAAATTGAGATGAAATAAATAAAATAGAATTAAGAGAATGAAAAGAGGGGAGAAGCTATATAAAAAAATGTAGAATGGTAAATAAGATATGAAATGGTATATAAAGTGAGCATGAATTTGATTTATATCTGTACAAAAGATGTAACCCGGGATTAAGCCGCTTTCCAAAAAGAAGTTTTATGTTGTCATGTTTTGTGTTTTGTTTGTGTTTGTTTGTTTATTGAAAATTAATAAAAAAATATTTTTTAAAAAAGATGTTTTGTTTGTATATTTTTTTCTTTGTGAAAACTCAAATAAAATTTACAAAAAAACAAACAAAAAAACAGACCCTACAAACTGGGTCTGCCTTAGGCATGAAGCCAACTGAGTGAACATGGCCAGTCCCTCCCTCAGCCTTAGGGGGGGTGAGGCAATGTTATACCATATCCAAACATTTAGCCAAGAAAAGTGCAGGAACTAGTCTAGGCAGTTGCCAGAAGTCACCTACAGGTACATAAATAAAATGAATGTGTTTGTTATATGAATTGTTTCCTGAACACCAGTTAATTCTGTAGTAGTTAATTGTAACATTAATTAATTGAGTAGGTAATAACTATACTAAACTGAACTCAACTACAATATACAATATATGTTATATATTACAATATATGTAATATATGTTAAAGGATGCAGTATAATTCCCACAAAAGTGTTTCAACTTAGCAAAATATTTCAAGTGTCTTTTTACATACTACTTGTTATAATAAAAATGGAGCAAAATTTTGTACACAGTGTTATAGCTATGATTATGCTGGCACATGGATTCTTGCAACAAGTTGGACCACCAGAGTTTATATAAACAATTACTGTTATACTTTTATTGTAGTAATGGCCCCATTGAAAATTATGCATTTATAGACTTTTTAGATTTACAATACCTCCCATGACTGCTGAGTCAGAGATGTCCATCTCTCCCTCTCCATCTTTCTCTTGTGCTTGAATCTGGATGAATACATGGCATGCAAAGCATGAGCCACAGCAAATGCAGCATTATAGATACTATAGCTGTGCCCAGTAATGGTTCTTTCTAAAAGGTTTTCAGAAATGTTCTCCATGCTCTCTAGCCCAGTGCAGAGTTCACTATTTGTATGGTTCAGAATCCAGTTGGGAAATGTGCAATCAAAAGTAGAAGACCAAAAGTCTCTTATTAAAAAATCTTCTTTTGCATTGGAAGGCTTTCTCTCCAGAATGAATTGCAGAAATCCTGGCAGCCCATTGGAATGGACAACCAATGATAAAGCCCCAGAGTAGATAAGTTTAGCAGATTTCTGTTCCTGTTTATTACTATAGGACTTAAGTTCTAGCTGAGCAGTCAAAATCCACACTTTACCTTTTGTTGTGTTTGTTCTCTCACTATCTCTTCCTAGGCCTAGCAACCAGTCCAAAAACATTGGAGTTTGAAGATTACCAAAGAGGAGAAATACATTAGCTGTGCTGATCATGAATGTATTCCATAGTTTAAATGTCCATTTTTTAATATCTCCATATTCAATTATCATGCCTAAGTTATAGACTGTATCTATAAAAGCAAAACAAATCCCATGAGTAGCAAATTCTGGAACCATAACTTGAAATACCCATTCAGAATTAATTCCAGATGCAATGAAAAATCCAACCCATGTCCAGCTGAAATAAAGAAGTAATTCAAGAATCTCTCTGTACTGATAGACTTCATTTGGAACCATTTGGTAGAAGTAAGAGGACTGGGTGTGATCCATCATTACTGGAGCAGAGCCATAGGAGAGCTAAACAGATTGGCATTTGAAGAGTTAACAAATAATGAAATAGAATGGAACAAGATTGGTGTGTGTGTGTGTGTGTGTATCAGTGACTAGCCCAATCTCACCTAGAAAGCTTTCATGCTGAAAATGGACTAGAGCAGGACATTTTAGCAATGGATGATCTCTCTGCTTATTTCATTATATAAAATATAGCAATGTATCTCTTTCAACTCAAACTTCATCAATTAAAATTAAATTATTTACTATATTTTACAGTTTGAATTTCTTTTGGATAAGATAATTATTGTAGTTATCATTATTGTAGTTATCAGCTATTATTTGTGCAAGCAAAGATTTTTAATGCTAGAACTCTTTTGGTTGACAGATCAGCTATGTCGGCACCCTATGTCGGCACCCATGCTGAGGTACACCCTTTTATATACTATCAAACAAAATTAAATTAAATAAGCTTAATATGATTACTGGAAATAAATCAATCTCTGTCTATACACACATCAATAACTGATGACAAAAATGATAATTGGATTATTACTAAATGCTTATAATCCACACATATAACTTACCTGCGGAATCTTATAGAGGCTAAAAATATTTGGGATCTGATAGGAAGATTCAATGCCAAGTCCTTCAATAATTGCAAGAAGATTGTCTTTATTATCACAATGGTAATTGGGGAGAAATTGCTCTTTTGGAGAAATAAGTTGCATTGCAGAACGAAAGGCCCACCTGGTATTCATAAGTGTATCATAGACATGGAATCCTATAGTGAAATTGTGTAAGATCTGGGGATCTTCATTGATTTTCTTTATTGCAAAGACCAAGGCCAAGATATGCTGGTAGTTCTGAGTCATAACCCTGTAGTGGGATTTCCATTATGTGTCAGATTAATTCATTTAAAAAAAATATACCATAGCTTAAGAGGCACTCTTGGTACAAAAAAATTGACCAATGACCCCGAAAGATATTCTATAGATTAGAGAAATGCTGAGGTACACCCTTTTATATACTGTCAAACAAAATTAAATAAAATATTTGTGGAATCGCTGGAGATGATTTACAATATAGTTTACATATACATTTTATTTCTGTATATATTTTATGTGCAGAAATTTTCTGATAATTTAAAATCATTATACAGTTCTGATTCCTCTAAGAGGAACAAATTCAGAATTAATTTTTTGGGAAGAAATAAGGTGATCTGCCATGAAGAAGAATTGTAATTTCAAACAAGAATTAAAAGAAATACTATAAATGAATAAGAATGCATTTCCTATTAGAAAGTTAAACATTGTAATTGCAATTTTTAACCAAGAAAAACTTGAATTAAGAAAATATTAATCTAAATGAATTAAAATGCATAGTTGAGAGCTAAATATATAATTGTTGCTTTTTATGTACTTATTTAGCTAAATATAGGCTGTATAGTTAAGTTTTTTGGTTTCATTAAAATTATTTTAAATACTAGTATATACTTAATATTTCTTTGGAGAGGTAGAGGAGCAAAAATAGATTTCCAATCTGTCCTTTATTTCTCAAAACAATCTACTTCATTACTTTATTGCAAACAATCACACTCATAAATTTGGTCTCCTACATATAAATTCACAGAAGCATACAGAAGTTAAGCTCAATTCCTTACAGATATTTTTCAAAATACATTGGTGGTGGTGGTTCAACAAAAATATTTGATCTGCAGACAAAGAAAGTGTGACAAACAAGGCCACCAATGAGTAGATCCCCTGGCTGAAGGTACTTGTGAAAAATGTGGTGGTGATCTACAATGTGGCACTTTTCATGTATCTGTCCTGTCATATGGGGCAGCAACAGAAAAAGCAATGCTGCTACTATCAACATATTAAGTACAAACTGACCCTCTAAACTAAAGCACCAATGCATCTACAGTTACATGTGTGATAACAATAGCTAGATATACATGAAAATTGAAATATAATGACTAAATCATAAAGAGTATATGTTTGGAACAATCCAACTAAAATCTGTCTGCAATTCTTAGTCCTGACTTTATGCACATACAATAAGTGTATGCGCACACACACATACACACACAAACACAAATATACAATCACACAGAAATACATGATCATGCTTGCAAGTCGTTTTGATAAAAACAAGAGAGAAATAGGAAGGCAATATAAATAATTATAGTTGTTTGATAGTTAGCTAGAATTGGTGAATCCTCTATAGGATTAATAAGAACTAAGTGTGTTATATTTCCCTTAAAAATTATTGCATTCATGCTGTTCTGTAAATAAAAATAAAAATGTGTTTTTAGAAACACATTATTTCTAATAAAATGCTCCCCTCCAAAGAATACATTTCATTTCCATCTTGTAATCAAATTAAAACTATGAAGACAATAGGCAAATCTTCAGGTCAGAAGTTCTTAAGTAACTAAAGTAGTTTGATTATTGCTAACTATGGGTAAAGTCTACTTTGGGGTGAACTATTATTCCATTTCTTTTCATCAGCCCTTTCAGATCTCCTCCTCTTCCTACTCCTTGTGTCCTTTTTTTGTGTTCTAACATCAAATTTACATGGACTACAATATCAGAGATGGTATTCAGCAGGTTCTGACCAGTTCTGGAGAACTGGTAGCAGAAATTTTGAGTAGTTCAGAGAACCATCAAATACCACCTCTGACTGGAGATTTTACACTATCCTTCACCTGCCACACCCACCAAGCCATGCCCACAGAACCAGTAGTAAAAAAAAAAAATGAATCCCACCACTGTACAATAACCTTCTATTTGGTGATTCTATGGACAAATCTCAAATAATCTTTGGCTCTTCACTTGTAGGTCATCAAAAAGTACATCTCACTTTTATCTCTGGAAAGGCTTATATATTCTTATATGTTCATCCATTGTTTCCTGTCTTGCCTCCTGGTGCTTTGGAAAATAATTTGACTTCCCTCATCTTTGTAGGAGCCCTTTAAATATTGGAAAACTGCTATCATGCCTTCCCATTTTTTTCTTTTCACTAGACTAGACTAGACAACACCAATTCCTGTAAACAGGGGTGGGATTCAATTTTCTTAACAACTGGTTCTGTAGGCATGGCTTAATTTGTGGGTGTGGCTTGCTGGCTGGGCATGGCTTGATGATCACATGACTGTGAGAGAGAGAGACAAAGAGAGAGGGGAAGAGAGAGGGGAAGATAGGGACCTTGCCGCTTTGCTATCCCCTGCCATCGCCCTTACCTTCTCAGGTCAGGCAAGAGAGGGGAGGGTGAGGGGTGGGGCCAGCCACTTCGGGAAAGGTGAAGAGGCAGCAACCAAGCAGAGGCGACTAGAAGCCTGGGAGCGGTGGCTCCCAGCTCAGCCAGACCGAGGGGCTTTGAGGTTGGACGGTCTGGAGCGGCCGAGATCCAAGCGAGCAGCCACCCACCCCGCACCTGGTTTTTCTGTGCTTTGGCACTTGCTTTAGGAGTGTCTCCTTGTGCTTGAGGAGTGAAAAGTGCCAAGAAGAGCTTGCTGGCTTGGCCCATCCGTGGCTTTGAGAGAGTGACAGAGAGAGGGGGGAGAGAGAGAGGAAGATAGGGACCCTACCACTTCGCTATTCTCTGCCATCACCCCTACCTTCTCAGGCCAGGTGAGAGAGGGGAGGGTGAGGGGCAGGGTCAGCTGCTTTGGGTGAGGTGAAGAGGCAGCGACCAAGCACAGGCAAGTAGAAGCCTGGGAGTGTTGGCTCACAGCTCAGCTGGCCCAAGGGGCTTTGAGTTTGGATGGCCTGGAGCAGCTGAGATCCGAGTAAGCAGTCACCCCACTCCGCTGCCTGTTTTTTTTGTGCTTTGGCAATTGCTTGAGGAACATCTCCCCATGCTTGAGGAGCAAAGACTGGCTCAGCCCATTCATGGCTTTCAGACACACAAACAGAGAGGGGGGGAGAGAGAGAGGAAGATAAGGACCTGGCTGCTTCACTATTCCCCACTGTCGCCCTTACCTTCTCAGGCCAGGCAAGGGAGAGGAAGGTGAGGGGAACAGCCAGCCACTTCAGGCAAGGTGAAGAGGTGGCAACCAAGCATGGGTGAACAGAAGCCTGGGAGCAATGGCTCCCAGCTCAGATGGCCTGAGGGGCTTTGAAGTCAGATGGCAGGGGGTGGCAGCAAAAGGCAAGTGGGGTGGGGGGAAAGACAGTGACAGGTAGGCAACTGGGCTCCAAAGCTTGCAGAGCCTCACTCACCCAGGCAGGGCCACAGCGGAAGACAGACAGCAATAGTTGGCCTCGCTGGGGGCAAAAGCAGGTTGTAGGTGATGCCGCACATATGTGACAAGGACTGACAGGGCGAGGCGGGGGGGCAGGCAGAGAGGGGCGGGGCCAGCCAGTAATGTGATTTACCGCTTCTCCAAACTGTGCAGAATCATAACAACTGGTTCTATAGAACCGGTAGAATCCCACTCCTGCCTGTAAACCTTCATATGTTTTAGCACCTAGTCCCCCAATTATCTTTGTGTCCCTTTTCTGCACTCTTTCTAGACTCTGAACATCTTTTTTATAATATGATGACTAAAACTGTAAGCAGTATTCTAAGTGTGGTCTTACTAAGGCTTTATAAAGCAACACTAATGCTTCATGGGATATTGATTTTATCCCTGTTAATGCAACTTAGGATTGTATTGGTTTTTTGGCTGCTGCCATGCTGCCGGCTCATATTGAGGTGATTGTTCACTAGGACTCCAAGATCTCTCTCACAGTTACTGCTTTAAGAAATTGTTAAAATAGATTGTTGACATAATA